ACTTCTCATCTGTTTCTCTATTTCCAAATTAGACATTGTGTTTCATCGCTGTTCCCAAATTTTCCAACTCTCCCTGCTGACCCACCATGGGCAGACCTTCTAGTTTTGAAGCCCAATCTGAATTCACCCCTTTCTTATATATATGGAAAACTTATGGCAATTGAATCTGACTCATTGGGTAAAACAAAAACTGCTTGGGAACGTGAATTGGTGTTGAACTGTCTGATTCATGGTGGGATAAAGTTATTCTCATCATATGCCAAAGTACACCATGTGCCAGATTACAGTTTATACAGTTCAAAGTGATAAATAGAGTTCACTTCTCAAAATCCCGTCTATCTAAAGTCTTTCCCTCGATTCTGGACCAATGTGACAGATGCCAGACCTCACCTTGCAACTTAAGTCACATGTTTTTCTTCTGCCCGAGCTTACAAACATTTTGGAAATATTTATTTTCCATACTTTCAAGGGTTTTTAGAATTCAGATCCAAAGTGATCCACTAATTGCCATCTTTGGAGTTCCAGAGACCACACTTAACCTGTCCCCCCAGCAGGGGGAGGTCTTGGCTTTCTGTTCTCTCCTAGCCAGGTGCTGTATTTTACTCTTCTGGAAATCTCCTACACCTCCATCTACATCACAATGGCTTAACACTGTAAGATCATTCTTGAAGATAGAAAAAACTTTATTAACAGTGAAAGGCAGTTCAGCAAAATTTACTCTCAAGTGGGCACCCTTTATGACATACATAAAATCTCTGCCTTCATAATGCATAGACTGATGTGACTGACTCATCACGTCATCATGTGACTAAATTTTAAAGAATAAATAAATAGGTAAAATACAGTTACACTTTAGCTTCTCAGTGCCATCCCACCCCCCCACCCCTTTTTTTTTTGTTGTTTTTTTGTCGGGTGATTTATGTTTGCTATGGGAGAAAAAAAATGGGAGAAGTTGTGTAATTTTTGCAGAATGTATGTAAGGTCAATGGATGTATGTTCTCCTGATAAACAAAACAAAACAAAAAGAATGGGTTTTGTTTCACCATCCTCTCCATGGTTTGGTTATCCATATTACTTGTACACTTTTTTCTACCACATCGTTTCCTTCCCTTCACCTCTCTTAATGTGCTTGGACACAGAGCTCTGTGAAGAGCCAGTCTCTTTCGCAATAACCTTTTGTGTCTTGCCCTCCATGTGCAAGGTATCAATGGTCGTCTTTTGGACAACTGTAAAATTAGCAGTCTTCCCCATGATTGTGTAGCCTACAGAACTAGACTGAGAGACAAATTAAAGGCCTTTGTAAGTGTTTTGAGTTAATCAGCTGATTAGAGTGTGGTACCAGGTGTCTTCAGTATTGAACCTTTTCACAATATTTTAATTATCTGAGATACTGAATTTAGGGTTTTCATTAGTTGTAAATGGTAAATGGACTGTACTTATATAGCACCTTTCTATCTTATTGAGATACTCGAAGCGTTTTACACTACAATCTGTGTCCTCATTTACCCATTCATACAGCACTCTACTTGATCTCTACAGAGCTAATGGAACAAATCATTCTAAAGAGACTAATCAGAGCTTTATCACATTTATACACCAATGTGACAAACATTGGAGGCAACTAGGGGTTCAGCGTCTTGTCCAAGGACACTTCGGCATGTGACTGCTGGTGAATTTGAACCCCCAACTCTTGCATTGGAGGACGACTGCTCTAACCACTCGGCCACAGCCACCCCAGTTGTCAGTTATAATCATCAACAGTAAAAGGAATAAACGTTTGAAATATATCAGCGTGTGTGTAATGAATGAATATAATATACAAGTTTCACTTTTTGAATGAAATTACTGAAATAAATCAACTTTTTCACGATATTCTAATTTTATGACCAGCACCTGTAAGTTCATCTTATGATGAGAAGGGACAGAGTTGTGGGCTTTTAGGTCAAATGTATGTAGAGTGCTTTGAGGATTTGTTGTCAAGTACTCTCAGCTAATACCACATCAAGATTTAGCTCAATATCTGTAAAACAGGCTGTTTCTAAGATTGCTTAGTTGTGGTGGCTATCTTGAATGGAGTAGACGGCACAAGTTGATCAAATGTGCATCCAATGATTACCATCTGTGATTACATTCAAACTGAGTGGTTCATGATATTGAGCTGGCAGATAGACATCTTAAAGCCTTTAGAGACAGTCCATAACATCTGTTTTAAAACAGGTTTGGAGTTGTGTAGAACTGCAAGAAAGTTTTTTTGTGTCTATATAAACTGTTACCAAGTTATTTATCCTCCATCTGTCCCACAGTCCTACTTTGTGTCAGACTATGACCCTACCATCGAAGACTCCTACACCAAGATCTGCACTGTGGATGGGAAGGAGACCCGGCTGGACAGTAAGGCTGACATCATTTTCTGATTCACACAGTGTGTTTGTCAGTAACTGTAGAACAGGGTGTTTTCTCTCTGGATGTTTCATTACCTTGTTGGGACTTGTATTGAGCAAGTGCTGTTGGGGTATATTTTGCTGGGTTACGGTTGGTATTTCACCACTCTGAAACCATCACAGCTGAACTCTGCACAGCTGTGGTTTGTCCAGACATGCATCCCAGAAGGTTTCTGTACATCCACTCATTCAGCAAGCTAAGAACAATTAAAGAGATGACACAGTTTTAGAGAAATGTTTAAAATATTTCCCCTTTGTCAGTAGTTCCTTTCATTCTTGTACATTTTCAATTGTTCTTAAACAAGAAGTAGAAAACCCTTTTCTTGGAAACTTGCTGAAATGCAACTAAAGCTTAAATTTGCACTTCACCATTTTGAAGTGAGATTCTGTGGAAATATTATAAACTAAATCTTGTTTCAGTTTGAACCACCTCTGTTTTGAGAAATAAATTTTAGTTTGGGAATCATGCTGTCATAAATACAGTACTTTGACAAAGTTTTCACACGCCTTTAACTTGCACAAAATAGTGCATAATTGTGAAGTGGAAGAAAAATTATACATATTTATTTATTTATACAAATAAAACTTAAAAATGTTCAATAGTATTTGCCTCCATTACTCTGATACCCTGAGTAAAATCCAGACTAACCACCTGCCTTCAGAAGTCACTTGATCAGTAAGCAGAGTCTAGTTCAATTCCATCCATTATTTTACCCGTTACTTCCTTTTTGGGTCGCGGAGTTCACTGGTACCCATGTCCAGCAGTCACTGTGAGAGAGGCGAGGGACACCTATGACAGGTCTCCAGTCCATCACAGGGACACATCGAGACAAACAACCATTCACTCTCTAAAGGCTCCCACATAGTCGGGTGGACCTGAGTCCGCAGAGGTCCGCGTGTACCCGACTAGATTCAAAGTGGACGTCCGCAGGGCATGTCTGCACAAAGATCAATTTTTACAACCGCGTACGTGTACTCAGTGTTGTACAATAAACTGCCCGGCGACGGACTGTTTTGTATGCGACACCAATGTATTAAATTTCCCTTCTTCATCCCTGATCTGGTTTAATGGCCTTTTTTCCCCCCCCAAGAGGCAAACAATCTCTTCCTCCTCCTCCTGTTGACGTCATGACTGAAATTGTGAGAAATGAAGGAATTGGTCACGAGCAAATTAAAATCAGGTCCAGCGTGGCTGTGGGAGGGTCTGGAGATTTCCTGGTGGGCTGGTCTGATATGTGGGCTGCAGGGCCAGCGCTCCCTGTTTTTTAAATTTTGTAGAACTTTTTATTAACAACATATCAACACAGAACACCGCTGCCACTTGCTGCCAGCTTTTTTTTTTTTGCGGCCTGTCAATCAATCCAGTAGGCGTGTCAGCAAATGACCAATCGGCAAGCTCAATTTGTCCCGAAGGTAAATGCCCCTTGCCTGCAGAGCTGGCTGCAGCCCATCAGGGTGTGCACTCGAGTATGAAGTCTCTACTATTTGTAGGCCTGGCACGCAGTTTCTGCTCAGACTGAGGTCCGCCAGAGTCTGTGGGAGCCTTAACTCTCACCTAGGGATAATTTAGAGTTGCCAATCAGACTAACATGCATGTTTTTATCTGTGGGAGGAAACCAGAGTACCCAGAGAAAACCCACTCATGCATGGAGAGAGCATGCAAACGCCACCCACAGTGTTTAATTTGAGCCAGATCCTGCTGGAACAAGATCCGAGAACTCTCATTTTGACCCGTTGTATTCCGGTAACTCTTTATTCGGATCTGGTAGCTCCATCCCTAAATGTCCAAAGTCATTTCACATTTTTATATTGATTATTTATTAAAAATATTAGAGGAGACGTTGCTTTTAGCCTGGTAGACCCAGTTTGTGCATGTTCCAGCTGCAGCATGAGTAGCGAACCAGCTGCTCCCATGCTCCAGATGGTCACATTTATGCATGGAGGTTCTGTGCAAGTCCTTTTCGCTTCCTCCAAATATAGAATAGAATAGAATAGAAACAGCCTTTATTGTCCCACGGATGGGAAATTCAAGTGTAACAGCAGCAACAAATAAAAAGATAAAAAAGATTTCACACAAAAGTTCCTAAATGTTAATAAACAATACAATATATAAAGAAATAAGATAAACAATATCAATAATAATGTTCAATATGTATTGGAACATTGATAAGGACACCCCCTCCTCTCAGACCCCTGAAACAGAAACGATCATTTATTCAACAGAATAATTAAATGCCCTGTAGACAGTGCACGTTACGCACAGAAACGTCTCCAGACAGCTCTACACAGCACGCGCACATCAACAGGTGTCTGAACTCCTGCTACATTTCAGACATGAATAAAAAAAGCTTACTGTAAAAAATAAATTTAAAATACAGAGAAATGTTTGATGTGTTATTCACATTATACGTCATGTTTCAAAACGGTGCTGATTTGTCAAAATAACAGTGATCAAAATGTCAAAGACAGTCCAATTTACTTTAATAATAAAATGGATGGATAGATGGATGGATGGATGGATTGTCTGACAACAGAGAACTGAATCCTTCAGGTGCTTCAAACGGTGCCACGAGACTGGAGCAAGAGCAACAACCAGGACTGAATTCAGCGGAGAAGGGTTCAGCTCAAAACCATGAGGGGAGGGAGAAGGGGGGTTTAGGACACCTGACGGAATCAGAGCTGCTGCGCACACACCCTGCTGTTCCTCTCCAAAATAGTAATTTTATTGTTTACAAATGTAGGTAAATGGTGATGTATAAGAACCCGTTAAAATACACCAAAATGCAGGAAATGGCATCTCTGTTATTCAAAAATTTCTGTGAGAAGACCCACGGACCCTTCATCAAAACTGGCTTAGACTCTGCTTTTCTTTATCATCTCTGCCTCTTCTGTCTGAGAAGATTCTGACTCCTCAGCACCATCCTTTTCTGGGTCTGTGGCTCCATCCCCCCCAACTCAAAACAGAAACTGCAGCTTCACGTTCAAAAATTGTTTGTTTTAAATCAAACACACTAAAACTGACTAAATTAAATACTAAACACACACACTGTTAATTACAAACACTCTAAACATCACAAATCTCACTCCTGCTCTCGCTGTGTCTCTTTTTTTATCACTGCTGAACTTCCATCAACTTCCATCTCATTTTCTTCTTCCTGTAAATTTATGGAGCTTGACAAATAACTTTGTGCTTCAGTCAGAAAGGAGACGAAGGGGTAAAACTGATGGGGATTGGGGTATTTTCTCCGAGACTGCCTGTCTTTGCCGCAGCCTCCTAACTTGGGCAATAGAAATCTGACTATCTCGATTGATTAGATCCCTGGCATGACGTCACACCCCATATATGGAAGTGAAGGGACTGTTTCCAAAGCTGAGGCTGAAATCGCTTGAAATCATCACAAAAACTAAAAATTTAAAACCAGTTGGCGTCACTTTTCCATGTTTGCCACAGAACACAGGTATTATGTCCATTACATTTCACTGGCTATGTAAAACTGGTGGGTGTTAGACTTTAATATTAGTGTCTTAAACCTGCTGCTCTTAAAAAAAACAAATGTGTAGGTATTTGTCATTATGATTCATTAGTATGTGTTTTTTCAGTTTTGGATACAGCAGGTCAGGAGGAGTTTGGTGCGATGAGGGAGCAGTACATGCGCTCAGGAGAAGGATTCTTACTCGTGTTTGCACTCAACGATCGGGGCAGGTAAAGGCCTGTTTGTGTTTTTGTGTGTGTGTGTGCATGTGCGTGTGCGCGCGCATGTGCGTGCATGCAATATTGGTCACGCCTGCTAGCTTTTGTTTCAGCTAAAGAGAAACTGTGATGATAGGTTGCTGATGGCTTCACTTACGATCCTGCTGTCTGTCTGGTAATGGGAGTGGACTCTTGCTGACAGAAATGCCCTCAGTTAAACATACAGTTGGTAATAAAGTAACAGAATCACAAAGAAGAATTTTTAACAGAAGATTTAATCTCTGAGAAGTACTATATCAAACTGCAATTTTAGTTCTTCTTCCTTTGTGGAGGCAGGTTACAGGATATGAAAACACAAGTCTATTAGATTTGTGGAGCTATTTGTGACATTTGGAACATCTTTATGGCCTGCTGTCAAAGGCAAAAGGACGATGTTTTTGTCTGATCTTGTGTACTTGTCTGTCTGTCAAAATGGTTTCAAATCTGTTTTTGAGCCTGCCACTGTGCTTGACTTGTCAGTAAGGAGGCCTTACTCCTGCTAGTTAGGCCAGAGCAGCGAAGCGCTGCGAAGGCCTATTGTTTTCGCTCTGTTCAGGCCTGAGCTGCAATTTTTTCTGCCAAATGAATTGGCGTTTTGGGGGCCTTAACATATCCCAAAAGTCACCAAATTTGGCGGACGCATCAGGACTGGTGAAAGATTACATATTTTAAGGGTGTGGCAAAAATTGCAACAGAAACGGCTCAAGAGCGCCACCTAGAAATTTTCTAAATTCCCTCCGCCATAACCTTAGTTTGTCGTCGAAACATGAAATTTGGTAAGCTTGTCCAATTCCCCAAGATGCACAGAAAACCCTCTGGCACCAACTTTGTACGATAAACAGGAAGGCAGCCATTTTGGAATGCCCGCCCAATTTTCACACCTTTTGGGCAGTTTACAGCCTCCGCATTTGAATGAACTCCTCCTAGGGATTTCGCTCAATCTGTTTCAAACTTGGCCATTTTGGTCAAAAGGCATGGGGGACGCAAAGTTATCTAAACGGTTAGTTTCGGAGCATGCTGAAGGGGCGGGACCAAACCTCAAAGTTTAACATCTTGCCATGAAAAATGAAATGCTAATAGCTCCTACACGAAAACTGTCGGAGACATAAAACCTTCAGTGATTGATCCACATCCGGACCCTGCAAGACTGAATGGTCAAATCATGACATAACTTAAGCCATGCCCCTGACAACAGGAAGTATAAAGTTTTACTTTGAATGATCCCTATCTGACCCCTGTTACCTGATCATTATGAGTGTGTCCAGTGAGCGAAGACATGTTGGTGTAACTTGCTTTACAACACTGACAGTTTTGGGAGGAGCATGTGGGCGTGGCGGCGTGGCGAAGTAAGACGTAACACCGTCGCCATACGTTTGGCTCTAAATTCCACAGTTTTGAACCGAGGTGCACCAAAATCAGTATGATCGATCATTATCCACCCCTTGAACAGGAATCCATGATAAGTGGCCAATAGCATCCACAGCGCCCCCTAGAATATTTTAAAACCTCAGCCCCAAGCCATTTTTGTACCGATAATTCTGAAACTCTGTGAACATCTGTATCTTCTCAGGACCTATGAAAAAGTCTCTTGGAGCTCTGGTCCAAACTCAACAGGAAGTTGGCCATTTTGGGTCAAAGGGTCATTTTTGGACGTTTCTAATGGCGAATTTTAACAAACTCCTCGTAGAAATTTTGAGTGATTGCCTTCAAACTTGGTTGATATGCCCTTTACACATTATGGAGTAAAGCTATCAAAAGCTTGCGTTTCTGTATATGTTAAAGGGGCGTGGCTAGGCCTCAAGGTTGCGTTTCACGCCATAAATTTCCAAACGCTGTAACTTTCACATTGAAAGACCAAAATGCACGAAACTTGGCATGACTCATCCTGGTTGGATGCCCGGCGATTCATTGTGGTCAAATTTTGATGTCATCAAAGCTCCACCCCCTCGGAACAGGAATTCTCTTTTTTAAATTGGAATGCTCCCTCTTTGACAACATTGACCTAATCAGGATGATCCTGTGTTACAAGACAGATAATATGGTCTGACTTGATTTAATTCAATTCAGTTCAATTCAGTTTATTTATATAGCGCCAAATCACAACAAAGTTGTCTCAGGGCACTTTACAGAAACATTCACATACATAAAAGCCAATTAGTAAAGTTCTCTATCTAAGGAATCCAGCAGACAATTTGAATCTTGACTTCGTTGCAGTCTCCCATTTAAAGCGCAAACAGTTTTTGCTTGAGGATGTGGGCGTGGCGGCATGGCGAATTAAGAAGTGATGCCTTTGCAATACGTTTGGCTTTAAATTGCATAGGTTTCAGCCGAGGTGCAACAACATTTTTTCAGGTCTCTCTTGTAAATGAGTCCTCGAGGCTCAATGGGATTTACCTGTATAAATAAAGGTTGATTGAAAATCACTATGATCGACCATTATCTGCCCCTTTTACAGGTATCCATGATAAGTGGCTCATTAGCCTCCACAGCACCACCTACATTTTTCTTACTGTTATAGCTCAGTGATACAACATCCATGGTGGTTTGGCATTGCTGAGGCAGGCTGAAACTTTGATTCCGAGTTGTTCTGCTTCACCCTCTTTCATTTTGTTGTTGCGGATCTTAGAAATCGTCCATCATTAAACAGAGGTGGAGGCCTCCGGGTTCAACTGTCCCCCTCTTACAATGCCGTTATTGCTAGTATCACTCAGCCTCCTGTGAATAGTAAACAGCCATCAGGGTGCTAATGATCCGTTGTTAGGCTGATGGCCCTTCTTGATCATGTGAGCAGCTGGTTTTGGTTGTCAGCAGCAAACTGGTTGATCCACTCTGAGAAGGTGCTATTTAAGAGACTGAGCTGAATACAGCACCTCAGACTGAGGAAGTCTTTCGAATGAAAGACGAAACGTATCTACATTTTTTTGCTTTGTTTAGTTTTTTTGAATGTCCAGAGGACCAGATTTAACTTTTTTGGATACTCCAACAGTGTTCAGTCAGGTCATCTGGACGTTTTCTTTTTTTGCCGAGACGTTACGTCCTTCATCCAAAGGACTTCAATCTGAGGAGCCACCAACAAACTGAGTCGCACAAACGGCACACTCCATAGTGGAAAAAAACTGTTTGCTGGTGATAAGATGGCCTCTGGGACCTGCCCTCTCCCCCGTCAACTCCTCTGAGGCAGCCATGCCAAAGTGGTTCAAAACACCAAAGATCATGTATGTTGGATTTTTACCTGGATTATTGAGCATGAATTTTGGTATCCTTGTATTCTGTTTCTTTTTTATAATTTATATTTTTGCTATTTTGGGGTGTAACTGGGATCAGTATGCAATTTTATTCCACCTCATGCACCACATGTGATGTGAATGACAAAGTCTCCTTGAACCTTGGTCTTGTGCGCCACAGCAGGTGATAAGTTTAGTGTAATTTTGCCCTGTAACCCTTAAATAAAAATTTGCTAATGGTTTCTCATTAAAATATATCCAACTCAAAGAGTACTTATGTTGTTGTAGTTTTGGTGCTGCAACATTTTAGATAAATGTCAGATTTTCACATAACAGGAAGTTAAGAATTCCAATGTCATCGCCATCGCTCAGTGCGTTGTATGTAGGTGTTGCTCAAACGCTGGCCATTTTTTATGTCAAATTCAGCCGCAACATATTTTTTCCACACACATTTTGGCATTGAATAGCTCAGTTATCAATCTATAAATAGTCTATATGGCCCAACGACTGCTGCAGATTGGCACCAGCTCCTCTTGTGGTGGCCTGGTCCATTGGGTAGGGTATTTGGTATCCTCCAATAGGAGGGTCGATGTTCCTGTCCCCAGCTCCTGCAGCATGCCGACAACACACCGTTCCCCCACTGCCCACCTTTGTGCTTACCTGTGTATGAGAGAAAAGAGTGCAGTATATACGTAATGGGTAAAAATATAAATGAAAGCACTTTGAGTGTGTTTGAATGGGTGATGGAGAAACTCTGTAAAGAGCTTTTCAGGGCCTAGAGGTTAAAGAAGTGTTGTACAAAATCATCAATTTAGTTTAAAAATAAAATATTGATTCTGACTTTGACAAGGAGCCAATGGAGAGAAGCTAAAACTGGATAACCATGATCTCTCCTAACTCATCAGAACTCCGGCAGCAAGCATTTTGGATCAACTGAAGACTTTTTTTAAGAGATTTTTTGGACATCCAGATAATAATAGTACTACAGTAGTCCAGCCTGGAAGTGATAAATGCATGAACTAGTTTTTCTGCATCATTTTTTGACAAGATTTCTAATTTTAGTCATATTGTTCAGCTGGAACAAATAAAGCAAGCCTAGTTTGTTTATATATATATATATGTGTCCACATGGGTGTGTACTTAATTTAACTGCGAGTGTGAACTCTGTTTTTTTCTTCCAACAGCTATCATGAGGTCCAGAAGTTCCACACCCAGATCTTGAGAGTGAAGGACAGAGACGACTTCCCCATGGTGCTGGTTGGAAACAAGGCTGACCTGGAGCAGCAAAGAGTGGTAAAAACCTTCTGGATCTCAGCCATGGCTCTTCCATTGCCCCATCATGTTCCTGGAAGATCCTGCTGTGCAGTTCCCAACTTAAACTTGACCTGTTTTTGGTCAGTTAGGATTCCTGAAATTATTGTGTGAATGTTTATGAAGCATTCACTCTATTGTGATCCATTTTTCTTCTGTACATTTTTTGGCGTGATTCTCAGTTTTTGTGCTATTTCAACAAATCATATATCAAAATGTTCAGCTCTTTAAGGACAATCATGAATTTTGGTATTGGTGCAACTACTCGAGTGCCATCTAGTGGCTGAAAATTATAGTGTTCAATCTAAAAAAGTTAAATCTGGTCCTCTGGACATTAAAAAAAAACCCAAAGCAAAACAACAAAAAAATGTAGAAACATTTTGTCTCTCATCCGAAAGACTTCCTCAGTCTGAGGCGCTGTATTCAGCTTAGTCTTATAAATAGCACCTTCTCAGAGTGGATCAACCAGTTTTGCTGCTGACAACCAAAACCAGCTTCTCACATGATCAAGAAGGACCATCGGCCTAACAATGGATCATTAGCACACTGATGGCTGTTTGCTATTCACAGGGGGCTGAATGATACTAGCAATAACAGCATTGTAAGAGGGGGACAGTTGAACACGGTTGCCTCCACCCCTGTTTAATGATGGACGATTTCTTTTCACAAAGATGGCCTCCTTTACTCCTCTCTCAAACCATCATTCCTCTCTGTCCATGATGTGACCATCTTCATCCCTGAAAGAGTGACCGCTGGCCTGGAGATGAGTGTAGACCGCAGAGTCCTGGCCTGATGGTGTTGCTCTTCTGTGCTGGGCCATCCTTTTGGCCAGTGGCTGTTTAGGTTGTTTTCACACCTGATAGTCCAGTAGACTCGGTTTGGTTGGGGACCAATATTCATGACATTTTGTTTACGTTTGAGCTGGTGCGTTTGCATTCACACTGCACTGTGCAGTTGAGCCAACCTGTTGAACCAACCTATTCCCCCGCTCGCCTGTGGGGGCGCTGCACCAAGAACTACTGAAAGAAACAACACAAAAACCTCTGCAGACACTTCTTCTGGAAATAAAAACAAAAATGGAGTGACATCAAGTTTTAGCAGTTTTAGGAGTTATATTTTGTCATTTTTCAAAAATGGACTCAGCATGAGCAGAAGATGAGGCAGAAGACCATGGAGAATACTGTTTTTCACACAAGGCAGCTGACGGCTCCATATAAGGTAAGAGAAATGCATGTTTGTTTGTCCTGCGCTGCACTCCACTTCTTGCTTGTGTAGCGGGGCCCGGTCTGTTTACATTCACACTGTACTCGAACCGCACTGGAGTTCTCTTCTACCGGACCGAGACCTAGGTTTTAGCCCGGGCCAGAGTTCGCCTTTTTGTTCCTTGACAGAGTTCGATGGCGCGTTCACACCTCCCCAAACAAACCGGACTTTCTAGGAAAATGAGCTAGACTTTGATTAAAGCGGACTAAACAGGTGAAGTGTTGGGGTGTTCAAAATTACCCGAGCACAGAATTTCAGGAGCACTTCACCTTAGTATTAAAGATTTAATTGAGACAAAGGTAAAGTATGCAGATATTACATGTAATCAGAATGTAGTCGGAGGAACAAAGTCAGAGCGAACCTTGCCTGGTCAATCAGCCTCGTGTTTGTTCAACCAAACCCTGTGTCTGAGCGAGATTTATAGGTTTCTCGTGTCCCGCCCTTTCGGGTTCGGACAGACTTGTGATTGGATGTCAAAACCTCTTGATCAGGGGTGGGCAATTATTTTTTCCATGGGGCCACATGAGAAACAACAAATATTGTGGAGGGCTGGCACAAATTACTTTTTCATTCAACCTTTATTTAGATAGGTAAATCCCATTGAGCCTCGAGGACTCATTTACAAGAGAGACCTGATTTCAACTTAACTCAATACTGCATAATATTAATAGTATTTCATTATCAAAAGCAGTACATCGCACTGTTTTAACAAGCTGGCAAGAGTATTTGTTATGATTAAGCAACGAAAAAGCGAGGTTTCCTTACAAAAAAATGTCGTTTATTCAATTAAATTTCCCAGTACAATGGTAAACTGTTAACATTTTTACCATTTGTGACGTCATATTAATGATCATTTTCAGTCACATTCACACCAAAACTCATTTTGAGTTTTATATAATGCTGGAAAAAGTTCTTAGCTTTGTAAATATATCACAATATTGTCTTTGTACTCCAAATAGTATGAAACATCATATAATAGTGATCGTCACTGAACTGTGATTTCGAGTCCCGGTTCTTTACGTGCCTACATTTGTAGTCTAAACATCTCATTTGGTGTTTATCAGTTCTTTTTTCTTGTTTAGTGAGAGAAGTTTAGTCTCTGTTGGGCTTTAACGGAAATGTTAAAGTCAGGTTGAAGGTCTGAGGTGGAGATGTGAAGCAAAGCTGACATCATCATTGAGAGAGGATCTATATCTGGATTTGTTTAACTTCATTTGTTTACATATGTATTTTGTAAGTCCCCTTACGGGGGCCGGTGAGAGTCAACCAAAGGGCCGCATGTGGCCCTGGGGCCGTACAACGCCCAGGTCTGCTCTTGATGGTCCAAGTGACACCATGTTCAGCCACTCAGGGGCAGATTTTATCTCCAGGGTTACTTTGAAAGCCCCAGACGGCCTCGCTAATCCTTCTACTGATAAGGGTTGATTTACGAGCTTTGTTTTGGAACGCAGGAGCACTTACTCTCAGCTTGTAGTTGGCTTTCGTCTGTATAGAGCAGGGGTGCCCAACCTTTTTTGAACCAAGAGCTACTTTTGAAGTCGGCAATTTGCCGAGAGCTACTCGTCCAGTCTCATTATCAACAAACATAATTTTTCATCAATCCCTACTCCTCACTTCTTTAAAGTAAATAAAACAGAACGTGATGTGTCTATAGGAGACAACTTTTTATGCAAGCTGTATAAAATAAATGTGTCTCTACCTTAGTGGGACTTCTGACACTGAGAGGAGGAGGCCAGGGTCTCATAAGATGGGCAGTATGAGGTGGTTGCGAGGCGCAGGCAGGTCTCCAGATGATCATCATTCATTGTGGATCTGTTTTTGGACTTGATGATTTTCATGTGTGAAAAAGCAGACTCACACAGGTAGGTAGATCCAAAAAGTGCTGTTAAGTTCAAAGCACATCTTCAGATGTTAGGATACTTTTCTTCTGACAGCAGACTCCAGAACTCTCCATCCACGCCAGGTGATGCTCTGGATTTGATCCCAATGTCATTTTGCAGACTCAACACCTCATTTTTAACACCAGAGCTGTCCAGCTGAAACACGGACACCAATTTGGACACAATGTCATCCACATCAACATTTCCAAAAGGATAACACATGTAGCTGGTAACAGGCTCTATGGAGGAAAAGTCAGTAAATCGTCTCTCAAATTCTGCTGAGATGCTCTGAACCTGCTTAGAATAGTGTGCACTGTCCAGTTGTGGGACTTCTTTCCCTTGGCGCTGTAGCTCTGCCTCCATGTGTGGGAAGTTTTGCAGGTCCCTGCGTTGCAGCCGACTTGTGAGCAGTTGCAGCCTGCTTTTGAAGGTGCTCACAGAACTGATCATGTGGATTATGTTTTTGTCCTTTCCCTGAAGCTCCAAATTCAGTTCATTGAGCAGGCTGGTGAGATCTGTGAGGAAGGCTAAATCCAAAAGCCACTGGGTGTCCTCTAGTTTTGAATGTTCACCATGATCTGACAGCTTCAGAAAATCCATGATCTCAGGCAACAGCTCACTGAATCTGTCCAGAAATTTACCTCTGCTTAGCCACCTGACGTCCATGTGCAGCAGCAGGTCTGTGTGGTCTGCTCCTGCCTCCTCCAAGTGAGCCCGGAACAACCTCCTCTGCAGACTCCTGGCCCTTATAGAGCACACAGTTTTCATGGCAACATCCATCACTTCCTTCATGTTTAAAATATTCCCACACAGGGCCTGTTGGTGGATGATGCAGTGATGGTGCAAAATGTCTGGGAAAGCATCATTCTGCTTGCAGAGTGCAACAAATCCACTGGTGTGACCAGTCATTGCTGGAGCGCCATCAGTTGTTATAGAAATTAGTTTAAAGAGGGGCAAGTTGCTTTTATTAACAAACTCCATAAACACATTAAAAATATCTTCTCCTCTTGTATGTCCCTTCAAAGGCAAGATGGTGAGCAGCTCCTCTTTTGCACTCATGTCTGCAAAGGCCATTCTGATAAAAACACACAGCTGGGCTACATCCACCATGTCTGTCGACTCATCAAACTGAAGAGAGAAACACTCGCATTGTTCCACGTCCTTTTTTAGCTGCTGCTCCACATCCACAGCCATTCCCTCACATCGCCGTGTCACTGTTTGTCTGGACAACTGCACGTCTTTAATAGCAGCTACGATCTCACTTTTATTTTTAAAATCATGAAAAAGCGCATCTGCAGCCTCAATAAACGCTTCTTTCATAACTTGTCCATCGCTGAAAGACTTCTTATGTTGAGCCAGGATGCGGCTAACACGGTAGGAAGCTATCGTAGCAGCTTTACCTTTTGTGCTGGGGCGAGTGAAGACTGATTGCTGGGCTGCAAGCTTGTTTTTTAGCTCCCGCACTTTCTGAGTCCGTAAAGAACTTTTACGAGGGAAATCTGTCTCAAACCGTTTGTGCATCATCTTGAAATGCCGCTCCAAGTTACACTTTTTGGGTAAGGCAACGCTCGAATTACAGATGAGGCAAATGGACTTCGAATTAGAATAAACAAAAAAATACTCCTCCTCCCACTCTGTGAAAATAATAAGTTTTCGTTTGCTTGTTCGCTAGTTTTCCATCCATGTTTTCTGCGCACCGACATTACTCAACTACTGAGCCTAAAGTCTCGTGAGAGCACTGTGTCTCCGCACCCAAAACTCGCGAGACTATGTCTGTGAGAATACAAGTCAAGGCTTCGCTTCGCGGGCGACCAGTCGCCCGCGAGCGACTGGTTGGGC